ATTTATTTTGAATGAGTTATAAGTTATACTTTTCTGATTTCTATAATATAAAGTTTCTAGTAGAGGGACTTAATTTGTAATGTTGAAAAATAATGTATACATTAAGTATCCTATGATTATTTTCCATAGGTACTCTGTTGTGCCCTTTCCTGTAAGTGCAATTTAATTTACAAATTAGTATCACTTTGAACATGTGTCTTGAAAAACTAGAGTTATAGGAAAAGTCAGAAGAATAGGGTATAAGATTGAATGGGCTATGATAAAAGCCAGAGGATTTCTTTCTCAGTTTTTAAAATGCAAACACTTACCAGCTATCCAATTTTTAGCCACTGGACCTAGTTTGGAGTGTTCTTAGACAAACAGCCAAAGTCCTCAGAGTAGTTGAGTTTGAAATGGTCTGTGTATAGCATGGCCGAATTAACTGATAGGGAGGCTGTCACTCTTTTAAATAGCAGTTGATCCAAAATTTCTAATCTCTGGGACTTGTTACCGCCACTCTCCAGTGTTTTTTCCTTTCTTTAGTCAGCTCTGTTTTCTTCTATTTTATCTGTAGTTTCCTGTCTAGAAATTAATGAAATAACAGTTTAATCATGTTTCTTTAGCATAGTAAAATGAGGCTTTGATGATTTATTTACTGACTGACCTTTCAGCTCCACTCCTATTACCTATTGCTTATTTGATTCAGGACCTTCTGTATGTCCCTGCCTAAAATCTCCATCATCCAGCCCCACATCTGCCTAACTCAACTTCATGACTCATGCCCATTCATCTCTGCTCATTGCTTTTAGTATCTTAATACATTTTCACTACTTGATATTGTGATTTTTTTTCTACTTGCATATTCATTTTCTTTTTTTTAACAGAGTACACATATATCCTATTTATCATTAGATTATGAAATTGTTAATGGATAGGTAGATGTTTAGTAGATGTTATCTTAATAAGGCAAAAGTTCCAAGTGTCCAGACTGGAGAGAGGGCTCAGCAGTTAAGAGTGCTTACTGCCCCTGCAGAAGGACAAGAGTCTGTTTCCAGGAGTCATATCTCACAGTTCACAGGCATCCGTATCTCCTGTTCCAAGTGATAAGAAACCCTCTTCTGGCCTTCACAGGCCCCATAAACACATATATGCACAAACATCTACAGAAGTAAAAATAATTGTTTTTCAAAATTCCAAAGGTGTGTGTGTGTGTATTTGTGTGTGTGTGTTAAGTTCACTACATCCAATTTGACAAATCTTTTCCTCCCTCTCATCACAGCACATTTTATATCATGATTATGTGGAACTTTCATAGAACTTTAGAAACTATGTTTTATGCTTTTTTGGTTTTCTTCTCTTGTTTTTGTTTTTTTTTTTTTTTGATTTTTATCTGAACTTTGTTATTTTCAGATAATAAAATTTAAGCTACCGGTTTATCTGGATGACTAAAAACATGTATTAGTAAAGGAAACTGAAACTTGTTTATTAGATTTCTTGTTTAATATTGGTTTCACTGTGTCTTATTCATGTTACTCTTTCTCTTGGGTGCTTTCAGTGTTCCATTATCTGGCTCTGTGTTGTGCTTTATCAGCACGGAATATAAGTACCCTGACAGAGCTTTTCCCTACTGACAGGGTGTTTGTGTGTATCTCATAAAAGTTCTGAACTAGATATTTGAGCTTAATTAAAAAATGAAACTTAAATATGTTTTATACTATGATACATTCATAGCTTTGCTTTTTAAAATGTGTTTTGTTTTCGCAAATAACTGCAAGGTCCTGTATGGGAATGCTTCAGTCATACTGGAGGTAGTACACAGGATGGCTAGGTCCTAGTTAGAGGGGATTTTGATAAATGCAGATACTGTGAAAAGTGGCAGCCAGACTATTTAAGGCACCCTTAGAGGTTTGGAATTATACTAAAATTAACCTTTTAAGGAAGAGTGTGACTGAATTAAAAGGCATATACCGTGATTTAATAGGCGATGTTTGGTGACTTAGAAAAGGTAGGGTGGGTAGTGGTACACAGACTTGGTAGACAGAGATACTAATGATTTATGGATATTTTGGATGCAGTAAGGCAAAAAAGGACAGGTTAGGAGCTCCATTTCTGACTTGTGTAAACATCTAGGACCATAACTTAATTTTTCTTTAAAAATAAAGGCTGCAGATTGCTGTTGTCTAGAGTCAGAGTTTGAATGACACAGCTGGTTCTCTGCTTCTCTTCGTCTTGACTCTGAGGTCACTTGGAGTAGACTTCATGTTTTTAAATGTTTGCATTTAGTTCTGTCTCACCAATTCTGTGGCTGGATAGAAACAGTATTTAAAATACAGTATGTGTGCCTTGCTTTATTTTTGTTTCCTTGCTTAATAGCTATACTTTCCATTGATTCCTACAAGTAAAAACTAAGAGATACAACTACAGATGAAGAAGGGTTGTTTCATAAATTGAGTTTTCCCTGCTTTCTTTCACTTTCTCTCCCATCCTGTTTGAGATAAGGCATTATGAAGCCTGTGCTGGCTTTGAATTTGCTGGTCCCTTCATTTTCATATCTTCCTTGTATAGCATATGGTTTGCATGGAATAGGTACTTACTGGGTATTTTCTGTACTAGTGAATTAAAGTATTAGAGAAATTTAAACCTGATTTCACTTTTTTCCTCTCATTTTCCTAGGATGGCTGGCTGTGGTGAAATTGATCACTCAATAAATATGCTTCCTACAAATAAGAAGGCGAGCGAGTCCTGTTCTAATGCTGCACCTCCTCTAACAGTTCCCGAGTGTGCCATTTGTCTGCAAACATGTGTTCATCCAGTCAGTCTGCCCTGTAAGCATGTTTTCTGTTATCTGTGTGTAAAGGGCGCTTCATGGCTTGGGAAGCGATGTGCTCTTTGTCGACAAGAGATTCCTGAGGATTTTCTTGACAAGCCAACTTTGTTGTCACCAGAAGAACTTAAAGCTGCAAGTAGAGGAAATGGTGAATATGCTTGGTATTATGAAGGAAGAAACGGGTGGTGGCAGTATGATGAGCGCACTAGTCGGGAGCTGGAAGACGCTTTTTCCAAAGGGAAAAAGAACACAGAAATGTTAATTGCTGGGTTTCTCTATGTGGCCGATCTTGAAAACATGGTTCAGTATAGGAGAAATGAACATGGACGTCGCAGGAAGATTAAGCGAGATATAATAGATATACCAAAGAAGGGAGTAGCTGGACTGAGGCTGGACTGTGACACCAATACTGTAAGTCTAGCAAGAGAGAGCTCTGCTGATGGTGCGGACAGTGGATCTGCACAGACTGGCGCTTCTGTTCAGCTTCCAGTGCCGTCCTCCAGGCCCCTAACTTCAGTTGATGGTCAGCTAACCAGCCCTGTAACCCCATCCCCGGATGCAGGCACTTCTCTGGAAGACTCTTTTGCTCATTTAGAACTCAGTGGAGACAGCATAGCTGAAAGGAGTCATAGAGGTGAAGGAGAAGAAGACCGTGAATCACCATCTTCTGGCAGAGTACCAGACACTTCTGTTGAAGAAACTGAATCTGATGCCAGTAGTGACAGTGAGGACGCCCCTGTGGTGGCTGCACAGCACTCCTTGACCCAGCAGAGACTTTTGGTCTCAAATGTAAACCAGACAGTAGCTGACCGATCAGACCGATCAGGGACTGACCGATCAGTAGCAGGGGGTGGAACCGTGAGTGTCAATGTCAGATCAAGAAGACCAGATGGACAGTGCACAGTGACAGAGGTTTAAGCTAACGTCTTCAGTGCCACACTCAAAGGTGAAATGGATACCTGTAAATTTCTGCCCACATAACATTATACTCATCCTTAGTAGTGCATTGTGGGAGTTGGGGTGGGAAGGGATATGGGAAGGACGTACCTGAAATTAAAATGTCTAATATGTCTCTGTTGAAATTTATTTAATGTGAGGAATTGGGGTGTTAACATTTGAGAGCTGTTCAATAATAACACAGTTTTCTTGACATCTGTTTACTTTATAGTGTATTTTTTTTTAAGTCTTTAGTTCTTTTGGCTAGTGTGTACCTGTGCATTCATGGTCCTCATCTGACTCTTGCACTACCTTATTTTTCTGCATGGATTGGTATAAAATAATTACTAAAATTTGGCACCTGTGAGATATTTGATATCATTGAGCAGGAAGTTTAATGTGGAAAATAGATGTGAATCTGGGATTTAAAATAGATGACTAACAACTTTTAGTTGGTCTTACTGAAATAGGAAAATAAGCAGCAGCAAATAGGTTGTCTCAGAACCTATAACACACTTCGTGGCGTTCCTTTCCATAGGGTTTGCTGTCTTGTCCTTGTACCTTGAGGTTTCTCTTAGTCTGCATTTTCCTTTTTGATTAAAAAAAACTTTATAATTTAATAAATACTAGAATTTATCAAAAATAATGCTTCTTTTTTGAGTCTGGAAAAGGGATGGCGGTACTTTGGTATTTGTGGCTAAAGAGCTTTTTAAAGGTGGGGTTTGAATTGATTATATGCTGCTCAAATTTGTCCTACTCAGAAGTCTGATGTCTTCCTAAGAGAATGTGTACAGAGAAGGTATCTATGGCATTGTGTTTGGAATAAACAGATGTGGAAAAAGACCCAAAGGCTGTGAGATTTAAATTTCTCAAGCAGCTAATACCATTAATTTTATGTTTCTTTATCAGTCTGTATCAGTGGTATTGCTGTCTGGTTACACAGAAAACTTACAAGCATGAAGTTATAGATCAAAGAAGCCCACTTTGTGTTGCTTGGCAAGGTAGAAAGTATTGGTGAATACAAAAGTGGGAAGAATTTGTCTCTGGAAAAATCATGTCTGATTTCTTTAAAATGTGAGATCATGTGGGTACATACTTCTAAATTCCCTTTATTAGTACTATCAATTTAGCTGAATGCTAAAACAACAAAAAATAGTCACTACTTTGAGTGTTTTTTTAACCGCTTGTTGAAACAAATTGGAAAAACAGTTCTCAGAGAAACAATTTAAAGAAGTGAATTCTGGGATGAACATAATGCTTCGATTACATGTTTTTATTAAATTTAGTATTAAAAGATAGCCACACAAGAATTAAATGTTATTCAAGAAATAAATCTGGCAAAAAATGAAAGTTAGTGTGTAAGGATGTTTCATAGATCTTTAATAGTTTCAGTTATAAACCTCATCGACAGTATTGTTTTACCATTGGCTGAAGAAGTCCAGAGAACAGTGCAAAGCTACTTTGTACAGCCAGTGAGTGCTTGCTCTGTGTACTGGCTTTCACTGTTCATTGGGTTATTTGAAATATGGTTAAAAAAAAGACCAACTAAAGCTCCAAACTCAGCAAAAAATGTACTTTTTTTTTCAATGAAGGGCATTTCCCACCAGTACCCTAAGTCTACAGAGCAGAACAAATGACTGCTATTTCTTACACACCTCTATTCCTCCCTGATGTTTGCTTCATATGAAAACTTTACTGAGATCTTTTTATTTTGCTTTTGTAAATTAAAGCAACTTTAAGAAAAATCAAAATGGTGAGACACAATACTATATACTAGCATTTGGGAGGTGGTGGCAGAGGAATTAGAAATTCAAGACCACCCTGGCTACATAACAGGCATTTAAATGAGTTAAGTATGTCATCAAGGATAAGCCCAAGGTTAGGCTTTCTGTTTGAAAATTGATCCTTGGTTCTAGGATAAGAATTACTATAGGAATGTACAAATTGGTAAAAAATGATTTAAGCGAATGTTAAAAAAAGAAAAACAAACAAATTGAGATATAGAAAACACCACCCAGACCAAATAAACATATTAGCAGTCAGCGTCAAAAGCGTTCTGCTGCTCATTTTAAACGTCATGTTACTTCCACCCATGTTCTCACTGCAGCTTCAACTTGTAGTACACCCACATCTTAGAAACTATTTAGTATGTTTCCCTCTCTTAGCAATAGCGTCTAAGTTTGCAGGGCCACCCCACAGTGTTCCTAAAACATCCCTTTCATTCTGTAGAGCTTCCTCTAAGTGCAGCTCTCTGCCTGAACAGACAGACTTTTTTAACCCTCTAATGACTTCTGGAGGCCCACTGACAAATTGCTCTAGCCACTCTTGGGCCTCTTCGAGAGCCTTAGCTTCATCAGTAGACTGTAAGACCTCATCAGCCAAGCCTAGATTTACAGCTTTCTGGGAGTCCAGTTTGAGGGTCCCACTTAACACTTTGAGAGCTTGTCTGCTGCCAATGATTTCAACCAGCCGGCTGGCACCACCCCAGCTTGGAACTATACCCATCTCCTTGTGGACAAATCTGATCACACTCTCCGCAGTCATTAACCTGTAAAGACAAAGAGGGAAAAGTGTAACTACATGTATATACTATAACCACAAAGTACTAAGTGCTCCTAGGCTAATAGAAAATTGGTCTTTTTAGGCAGATATCAAAACACTGTTGGAAAATATTCCCAACTAGAATTTAATTCAACATGTACTATTCAGCAAACATTTGCTTTTGAAAATAACATTTTGTTTCAGCTTTTCCAAACTTTGAAGATAAGAACTCAGCTTCACAGTTAAGGAACTTAAAATTTAAAAAAAAAAATCCATAGTTTAAAAAGCAAAAATAAAGCTTTAAATGGGTGTGAGGCACCGCAAGTCATGTCAGAAGAATCTTAATCTAACCCTACAATTGGGATCTGCCAAAAACTTGGGAAGAAATTTAACTCATAAAATATAATAGTTATGAAAATAGGAATAATTGTTACTCTTTAGCCCAGTCTCAGACTGACTTAATATGCCAGTTTTTAAACTAAATTCTGGAATTGGCATGTGTTGGTTTAGCTATTAGCACAGCTGAAAAAGTGATGTGAAGAATAAATTCATTTAGAACTGAATAAAAATTAGTGAGCCAGTGGTTGTCAATGTAATGTAGATGATGTTATATGAGTTATTACAGTAGCCATCCATGTGTTGTTATAACCTAGGCAACCATCCAAAATAATATATTTTGTCTTCTCTTTATTTGCAAGGTCAATTATATATGTTTGTTTAAAAAGTTTTATGACATTCATTTTTCATATACATGTGTGGGCACATATTCCATGGGTTATTTGGAGGTCAGCTGGTTCTCTCTTTTTTATCAATGAGTTGTTGAGGATGGGAAGGATGGTTGCCAGATTCGGTGGGAAGTGCCTTTACCCACCCACCCATCTTACTGTTCCAAGTATGCCTTCCTGAATCCTATTTTATAGCTAACAAATCCTCAAGTAATCTTTGTAAAAATATGCATTAAAATCTGACATATATTCTTTATAAATGGCATAAAGGAAAATATAATTCCAGAGGAAATGATCCAATCAATAAGGGAACAGCTTCATCATCTCCCAGGATTATACAGTAATACTAGAGTTCGTGAGTGACATGGGATGCTTATTACTAGGGAGAATCTGTGAACCCAGACTTAGCCCTTGTAGTTATAAAATCATAATATTAACTTTATAAAGATATTATATTATATATTATAAAGCTATTAAATTCCCTCATTTTGATATAAAAGAGTTCAAGTGCATATGACATAATGGAGAGGAAGAGATGAAACTCATCAGATGTTGGTATGTTTCTTACTATTTGGATGGAACAATCATAGGGAAAAAAAACATCTACTGCTGGGTGAAGACTATTTGTGTGTGTATGTGCGCACACACACCACAGCACACATGCACAGACCTCCAGACAGTTTGGGAGAGGTGGTTCTCCCCTTCTGCCATGTGGGACCCCGGAATTGAATTCAGGCACTTTTGCCTGCTGAGCAGGGGATGCCTGACTTGTTGACTGCAGGAAAGGCTATGCTGTGCTACTACTGCTTTCTGATGAGGGAAACCTAAGTTAGCAAACATATCCAAGAACCTTTTTAAACGAACTTAAACTCCACTAAACAGGGAAGCTGGACTTTAAAAGTGTTCATTGATGAAGAAAGGTACTTATAGTGACCTGTAATAAAATATGGAATATGTAGTGAACTGGAAGACTGAAGAGCCTTCCTGTGCAGTACAAGGAACCACAGCCACTGTGTGGCTGGAAATTCTAACATGGACTCTCTGCCTGCACATCGCACCCCATACAGTGCAGATAAAGTGCAGATAAGGAATGGGACATACGGACAGAGGAAGAGGAATATTTAGACCCTAAAAAGTTACTTAGCCTATTTTGTCACGAGTTTGTTTGTCTATAAATAGTACCCATTCAATACTACTCATACCATAGAACCAAATGTGTTCTTATATAATAAATACTTAGAACATATATTTTATAAATAACAGAGGAACTGTAAGCTTTATTTAAAAACCAATTATACTGTATTACATTATATTTTATTCAGACCTAAAGTTGTATGTTTTATAGTCTAACACATAAGCAGCTTTGTGTATTAGCTTTTACTATGATTTAGTAGAGTCACTAAGCAGGTCATCACAGTAACAGTGTGTCTTCTAGAATTCTAAATTATTTCCTCATCTAATCTTACATCATCCTTAGTGCATTCAAAATTCAAGCAACTATATTTACACAGTGAAACCTAGAAAGTCAGTACTTCTCAATCTGTGGGTGACCCCTTTGGAGATGAAGTGACCCTTTCACAGAAATTTCCTAAGACCATCCATCAGAAAACACAGATATTTACATTATGATGCATAACAATAGCAAAGTTACGGAATAATTTTATGGTTGAGGGTCACCACCACGTAAGGAACTATATTAGAGGGTCACAGCATTAGGAAGGTTGAGAACCACGGCAGTAAACGGTAGTGTGCTGTCTGTCCTTCAGTAGGAAGTACATGAGTGGTGACAATAAGAAAGATTCATGTTTTTGTCTTTCTAAATGATGAAAAACAATTCTTTATCTTACAAGACAGAGGATTCAAACTGTGAAAGAAAAAAACCACATGTATGTCTTTAAAGTTTCTTAAGGGAAATTAGGCAATGAAAGCAACAACATAATATTTAAAGATTTGAAAGCAGTGATATTGTAAAGGTTAAAGTGAAACAGGGCAGAAAGAATTTAAGAGTAGTATATTTTCTTGAAGGAAAATCTGTTAAGAACTAATATTAACATGCTAATATTTAACTTTTGATACAACCTTCTAGAATTTATTCTCATGAGATAGTATTAAAATACTAAAAAGAATACTGAGTTACTCCTTATAGTCTGCATTTTCAAAACATAAAATGTGGAGGCTGGAAGACAGCTTAGTATATAAAGTAATTGAGTTTGGATACTGAAGCCCACAAAAAGCTGGGCATAGCAGTATTTATAACACCAAAGGTGGAGAACAAGGTCAGGTTGATTCCAGGGGATTGCTGGCCAGCCATAGTAGAAGAAGAGGCCTTATCTCTAAAGTTAGGATGGAGAGGATTAGAGGAAGATTCAACATTGAGCCATCTTCCACATGTGTGCACTTGGACTATAGGAACTGAGAAATGCAGGCCCATTTCTCACCACTGTCTGGCAGTCAGAGAATTTGAGAGACTAACAGGCATAATTTGCACCTTCCAACACAGGAGGTGGTCACTTGGCCTTTTTGAAGTTAAGTAAACTCAGCACCATCCCAAGGTGGTCAGGATATGCTAATGTGATTCTGCTTCTTCCATTGTAACTGTGAGGTCACCTGGAGAGGAGGTGTTTTCTGCCTATGTGACAAAGTGTTGACCAAGTAATGTGACTTGAGTCATCCTGATACCTAGGCAACAGAATGTTAATGAAGGCTTTTGTTATCTGCTCCCCCAGTTTACTTTCATATAAAAGCTGAGGAAAAATAAATGAGGGGGGGAGTGGGTGGGGAGGTGGTGTTCGGGGTCTGTCTGAATAATCCCTGAAAGTCCCTCTTGATACTGTTACATGATTTGTGTCTTTATTGTCCCTCTGGTGCGGGACAATTGTCTATATTCTGTCAATTATGTTTTAAATAAACGCTGATTGGCCAGTAGCAAAGCAGGAAGTATAAGCAGGACAACCAGACAGGAAGTAGAGGCAGGTCAATGAAAAGAGGAGAATTCTGGGAAGGAGGAAGCCAATTCCTCTGCAGTCCTGTTCAGACACTGAAGAAGAAAGATGTGATCTGTCCTGCTGAAAAAGGTACCGAGCAATGTTGCTAACATATACTAGAATATCAGGCTAATATAAGTTATAAGAGTTAATAAGAAGCCTGAGCTAATGGGCCAATCAGTTTATAAAATATAGACCTCTGTGATTTCTTTGAAGCTAAATTGCTGTGGAACCTGGTGGGAGGACAGAAACCCTGTCAACACACCTCTATCTTGGTGTTGAGGCCAGTCCTCAACAATGGACAAACACGTACACACAGACATTCCTCCCAAAACAAAAGAAAAATTAATGTAAACATTGAATGCATCTATGTTTTCCACGTAAAATCACATCAAACGAAAAATACTGAACTACTCTAAGTAACTAAAGAACACATTTTGACTATCTTCTTTAGTCCAGAGGGGAAATAAACAAAAACACAATGCAGAAAAAACAACCAAAGTAGCAATGTTTAGAAAAAAAAGTGGAATTTTGTGAATGGCATGGGAAAGTCTTTGCATCATTCATACCACCTTTCCATAAGTTTGTATATAATTTAAAAGCTTCCATGCTTTTGACTGTCAAAAGTAGTTATGAAGCTGGACTCTGAGCATTGAGCAATGCCCATTTTTAATCCACAAATGTCTTTTGTGTGTGTGTGTATGTGTGTGTTCATGTAGACGTGAGCACATGTGTTATGTATGCCAGAGATCAAGTACCATTCCCAAGAAACCATCATGAGACAGTTGGTCACTAGAATCTGGACCCCACTCAGGCTAGACTGGCTGCCCAGTGAGCCCTAGGGGCAGGCAGAGATGTTTCCATATCCCCAGCTCTGATCCAAATATACACTACTAGGCCTAGCTGTGTATGGAGAAGCCAGGGATTGAACTTGGCTCTTAATGCTCATACAGTAAGCAGTTTACAACTGGGTTATTTCCCTAGGCCCAAGTCTTTTTTCTTTAATTATTACTATCATTTTTTTTTTTTTTTTATTTTTTAGGCAGGGTTTCTCTGTATAGTTCTGCCTGTCCTGGAACTAACTCTAAAGACCTGGCTGACCTCGAATTCAGGAAACTCACAAAGATCCACCTGCCTCTGTCTCCACTGCTGGGATCAATGGTATCAATGGTATACACCACTACATCTACCTTTTTGTTTTTTATTTTTTTAATTTATAAAAGTTTATTAATTTATAAAAGTTTCCATTTCCTCCCCTCCTCCCAACACCCTCCCACTCCCCCCACTCCCTCTCCATC